ACTTCTGGGTTTTAGAGTCTGTGTTTTGTTTGGTGTATTTTACAAACGTCCGCCTCCACTAATGACCACTAGGCTGCGTCTTTTCCTGCTGTGGTCATTAAAAATGAATGTCGCCTCCTAAACTCTGGAGTTTAAAACAGACGCTGCCTCGGAATAAAAGAAAAGTTTCCTTCGTGGAGATGTTTCCTTCTTCAAACACAGACGACGCAGTAACTGGGTCTGAGAACACAGTGGTCCACTACAGTGGACAACAATGGTGGACCACAACAGTGGACCACGAGAGTGGACCACGACAGTGAACCACGACAGTGGACAACAACAGTGGACCACGACAGTGGTCCATGATGGACCAATCAGCACCAACGATGTAATGATTTTTTAAGGATTCAGAGCAGGGACGTTATCACCAAACTCACATCATCGGCCCAAAAATGACCTCTGACCTCAGTAGTTACTGTCTAACTGTGCCAAACATAAGGTTCACATGATGGTGTGTGGGCAGTGAGGTTTGAAACCCAGGTTCTCATTGAGAAATGAGGCTAAAAAACCGACTTCAGTTTGTTTCATTTGCCCCGGCAGTTTTCACCCGTTTTCACAGCAGTTTATTCTCATTTATCTTTCACTCCTTCTTGTCCTCTTCTCCAAACTGCTGTCCTCCAGGTGTGTGTGTGTGTGTGTTTGGTGTGTGTGTGAGTGTGTGAACCGATGTTGTACATCATTCTGGCGGAGATAAAGTCACTTTGACTTTTTTGTTTTCATGAATGATTCAGTGGACCGGAGGAACGGAGGCTGCAGCGCCACCGCCGTCCACCTGAGCGTCTCCTCCTGAGCGTCTCCTCCTGAGCGTCTCCTCCTGAGCGTCTCCTCCTGAGCGTCTCCTCGATTATCAATCACATCTGTGGTGAATGTGACCGAAAAGATCGATGACGAGGAGCCGGAGTCGTGTTTTCAGTGTCCTGACAAACTTTGACTTCTGTAAAAATAACGTTTCTCAGTTGAACAGTGACTCAGGGCTGGACTGAGGTGCCCAACCTGTGGGCCGCGGACCAGGACCAGGACCAGGCCGTGGGGTGGACACCAGAGCTCTGTGCTGTTATTAGCTTTTGTATTATTGGTCAAATCTGTCCTCCAAATATCCAAATTGATATTCAATATTTTAGTTTATGATTGGTCGGATCTGTCCTCCAAACTGATATTCAATATTTTAGTTTATTTGAGCTGTTGTTAAAGATGTCGTCGTGTTACGA